AATAAAATATTGAAATGAAAAGAAGAATAAACTTAATTTTTCATTATTTCAACCGAATTCAAAAAAATCTATTTGCTTTTTTAATTTGTGTGTGATGCGGGTAAGTAAGGTAGAACCATAGATTCTAAGAGTTTTAATAAAAAAAATCTCTATTTATATATATAAATTATATAAATAGAGATTTCTATTCAAACTAATATGGGATTCATTTTAATTCTGACTGAACCTTTACGCGTAAATTCACTATTCCATTCATAGAGAAAGAAAAGGTATAGATTATGATATACTGACTGAACTATGACTATTCATGATTCCATAATTGAATCAATTACACAAACTAGAGGAATGTTATGGTAAAACTTCGTTTAAAACGATGTGGTAGAAAGCAACGTGCGACTTGAATTGAAGGACATTATCTGCTGTGGATTTTTTCATCCGCCACTTTTTATATAGGAATATAGGTGCTCTTGGCTCGACATTTTGTGTTCTATTTTACAAGAGTCCTACACTTTTTTGGAATATAAAAAAGAGTACAGGATGGAGCTCGAGGAGAATAGAAAGTTTTTATTCCTTTCGCAGGAGTAAGGATCTAGGGTTAGTGCGAATCAATAAGTTGGAACAACTTCGTAAGTCTTTTTATATTGAAAAAAAAGTCCTTTCAAGCAATTTTACAATGGAAAAGGAAATTTTCTTAAAATTGTAAAATTCTTTGAATCAAAAGTCTATCATGCGTGAATCAAGCGTTTGTATGATTCTTTGTATAGAAGAAATCATAAACAAAATAAGGGGCTTGTTGCTGCCCTTTTTTAATAAAACGATTCAAGATCACCGAAGTCATGTCTAAACCTAAAGATTCAAAGTAAGGATAAAGAATCCTGAAACAAGGAAATCCTGTTTTCAATTGTTTGAAAAACTAGATCAGAATGAAGAATAAAAATTGATTCTAAAAGCTGAGACAAACAAAAAAAGGGCTAGAGACTACTCAATAAAAAAAGTACTTAAGGATTCTCCGGTGAGATATTTGAGAGTTGTTTAACTTGAGTTACGAGAGTACGAATGTTATGAATGCTTTTTATGGAAAAAATATTTAGGGTTTCAATACTGGCTAATTTATTTAATGTTTTTATTTCTCTATTTAATATTTATTTGAATTTACTATTTGAATTTTATACAGAGAGTTAAAGTGAACTTCTACTCATTGAATTTGTTTTTCTCGAGCCGTACGAGGCCAAAACCTCTTATACGTTTCTAGGGGGGGGTATTATTCATATACATCTATCCCAATGAGCCGTTTATCGAATCGTTGCAATTGATGTTCGATCCCGAAGAGAAGGAAGAGATCTTAGCAAGGTGGGTTTTTATGATCCGATAACAAATCAAACTTTTTTAAATCTTCCTGCTATTCTCGATTTTCTTAAAAAAGGAGCTCAACCAACAAGAACAGTTCATGATATTTCAAAGAAGGCTGGGATTTTTACGGAATTAAGTCTTAATAAAACGAAATTGAATTAATGAAATATAAAAAAGAGGATGTGAAAGACTCGTATATAGCTTGATATCAAATTTTATCTACTCTTCTCTTTCCTCCTCTTTCACTTCCATCATATTTATTTTGATTTGTTAGAATTTCTATTTATTACTTAGTATTCCTCCTAAGGTACGAATACTAAAAAATACCCTACTATGTTTTATAATCATAAACAAATTTATGAAAAAAAAATTTGGATCTAGATTATATAAATTCGAATTTTTTTATAAATACAAAATTTTACTGTTATATAGAAAATAATACTGTATATAAAATAATATATTATTAATTCTGAATAAAACAAATATATATATATATTATATTATTATATGAATAATTTATTCATCATAAAAAATTAAAGGCCATAAAAAATGGGTCTAAAAAGTATAAAAAGATTTGAGATTACCTTAACTGGCTTAGTTTTCATTCATTGTATGAACTAATGAACCAAGGGGTTAAGCTTTTTATTTTTTTATTTTTTCTATTCTTTTCACTATATGAAAAATTCATAATCATATTGACAACAGTGTATGGACCAAATATAATTCTCTCATAGATAAATGGATCTATTTATCCCTGACACACGACTGGATTTTTTTCTTTATTCTGGTTGTATCTACATATTTGCAGTACGTTCTTTTTTTGTTTTTTGGGGTTGCTAACTCAACGGTAGAGTACTCGGCTTTTAAGTGCGACTAGCATCTTTTACACATTTGTATGAAGAAAAGGATTCGTCCAGATCCGCGGTAGAGTTTGTAAGACCACGACTGATCCTGAAAGGAATGAATGGAAAAAATAGCATGTCGTATCAAGGGAGAATTCAGATAACATTTTTTTTTGCTTTCCTGATCGGTACAACCTTATTTTGATATCGAAAAAAAAAGAATTCCAATTTGGGTCAAGTGAATAAATATAAATGGATGGATAAAAAACCCAGTTTTCCTGATTCCAGGAAAAAAAAAGAAACGAGCT